CTGGGGATGTGGGATATAGCGGGAGAAGGCCGTTTAGGTATGAAAAAATGTGGCTTAAAGTGGATGGTTTTGGGGAGCGAGTACGGGCTTGGTGGGCCTCTTACAAGTTCAGGGGGTCCCCCAGTTATGTGTTGGACCAAAAATTAAAGGCTTTAAAAGGAGACCTCAAAAGATGGAATGAGGAGGAGGTGGGGGATGTTAACTGGCGCAAAAATCAATGCACCTTAGAAATAGAGAAATTGGATAGGAAGGAGGAAAGTCGAGGATTGGGAAGGGACGAGAGGGAGCGACGTCAAGAATTAAGGGGTGACCTGAAGAGGTTGGTGGAGATGGAGGAGATTTCTTGGCACCAGAAATCTAGGGTCAAGTGGTTAAGAGAGGGAGATAAGTGTACACAGTTTTTCCATAGGGTGGCCAATTCCAACAGGCGCAATAATTGTATCTCTATGTTGGAGGTGGATGGGGTAACTTTTGAGGACCCGCAGGATATTGGTACCCAAATGGTGAGTTTCTACCAAAACCTTTATAAGGAGCAGTTTGATTGGAGGCCAGAGCTTGAGGGGCTAGAGTTTTCCACTATTTTTGAGGAGGATGTCAGTTGGTTAGGAAGACCATTTGGGGAGGACGAGATTAGGGAGGTGGTGTTCAGTATGAATGATGACAAGGCCCCAGGACCAGACGGATTCTCCTTCGCATTCTACAAGGCTTGTTGGGAGGTGATACGTTCAGACATTGTGGATGTTTTTGCTTACTTTTTCCAGTGTGGCAAATTCTTGAAAAGCTCTAATACCACATTTATAGTGCTGATCCCAAAAAAATAGGAGCTACAGACATTAAGGACTTTCGACCTATCAGTCTAGTAAGTGGGGTGTATAAGATTATTGCAAAGGTTTTGGCTAATAGATTAAAGGTGCTGGGAAAAATGGTGTCTAAATATCAGAATGCTTTTGTCAAAGGGCGACAGAACTTGGACTCCGCTCTCATAGAAAATGAATGTATTGATTCAAGACTACGTCAAGGGGCTCGAGGGATGCTATGTAAACTTGATATTCAAAAGGCCTATGATCACGTGAACTGGGGTTTCCTATTGTATATGCTCAGGCGATGTGGTTTTGGAGCCAAGTGGTGCCAGTGGATTCAATTTTGTATTTCTACTGTCTCTTTTTCTGTTCTGGTAAACGGCACTCCTGAAGGCCATTTCCGAAGTAATAGGGGTTTGCGACAAGGGGATCCTTTGTCTCCATTACTGTTTGTTATTGTAATGGAAGCATTCAGTAAAATGGTTGAAAAGGCTGTGGGGGAAAGTTTGTTAAAGGGCTTTAGGATTGGTCAACTGCAGATATCTCATTTGCTATTTGCAGCTGATACTCTGATCTTTTGTGACGCTGACGTTGAGCACTTTAGGAATTTGCGTCGTTTGCTTCTATGCTTCGAAGCCGTATCTGAAATGAAGATAAATTTGGGGAAGTCTGAGGTCATCACTATTGGAAAGATCGATAATGTGGAAAGGTTGGCTGCTACATTGGGCTGTAGGGTTGTACAGTTGCCTATGACATATCTTGGGCTCCCATTAGGAGCAAGGTTCAAAAGTAAAAACATTTGAGACAGTATAGTGGAAAGGGTGGAGAGGAGATTAGCGGGTTGGAAGCGTATGTACCTTTCAAAGGGAGGTCGTCTTACTCTTATCAAGTCTACTCTCTCGAATCTCCCCACTTATTTCTTGTCTTTATTTCCCATTCCTGTTACAGTGGCTAAGAGACTAGAGAGGATCCAAAGGGAGTTTCTTTGAGGAGGGTTAGGAGAGGAGAGGAAATTTCATTTAGTAAATTGGGGTGCAGTTTGTTCTCCCTTAAGGGTTGGGGGACTCGGATTGAGGAGCCTTGTATTGTTTAATAAGGCCTTGTTGGGTAAGTGGTTATGGCGGATTGGGGTGGAGAGGGAGAGTTTTTGGAGAGAAATTATAGAAGAGAAATATGGCATGATGGAGGGTGGATGGTGTTCAGTTGAGAGCCGTGGTACCTACGGGGTGAGTTTATGGCGGTTTATTCGACGAGGGTGGAGTGACTTCCGGAATAGAGTGACCTTCGGTGTGGGGAATGGCAACACTATCAGCTTTTGGGATGATTGTTGGTGTACTAATCAACCGTTAAGGGAGTGATTTCCTTCTTTGTATCGTATTGCCGTGATGCCATCTGCTATGGTGAATGATGTATTATATACATATAATGGGAGCATCAGTTGGAACATTGTTTTTGGGAGGGGACTACAAGATTGGGAAGTGGATGATTACACAGTGCTATTGACCTCTTTGTATGACATGCATATCAGGGTTGGAGAGTGTGACCGCATTAGGTGGATGCCGACAAGGGATGGCATTTTCTCAGTTAGCACTTATTTCAAATCCTTATTGGGATCTGCGGAGAATTTATTCCTTTGGAAGATGGTATGGAAGTGTAAACTGCCTCCAAGGGTGGCGTTTTTACTATGGACGGTAGTGAGAAGACAAGTTTTAACGGCGGACAATCTTCGATTGAGGGGGTTTTATATTACAAATTGGTGTCATATGTGCAGAAAGGATGGGGAAACGGTTGACCATTTGTTCCTGCATTGTGATGGTGTCCGTTTGCTGTGGAATGATATTTTGGCTTCTCAGCATATGGATTGGGTGATGCCACGACATATGGAAGATTTGTTGAAGGTTTGGAGGAGAAAGTTTCGTGACAAGGACAGTAAACTCGTTTGAGATTTTATTCCAGGCTGCATTGTTTGGTGCGTGTGGAGAGAAAGAAACGGGCGCTGTTTTGATGATCAGATGAAGACTTTAGAACAGTTTAGAGAATTATTTTATTTGACATTGTATAATTGGTTTAGTGCTGTAGCTTCTAGTCATATAGACGGGCTGCCTAATTTCATGACATTTATTTTTTGTTTAAGTATATAATACACTTCCTGTGTATTACTTTTTAATTAATAAAACACTTGATTATTTATCAAAAAAAAAAAATAATATGTTTGTTGCAGAATGAAAACATGGTTCTCAATATAAACTTTAAGCCCACAAAACAGTCTACACCCATGTATCAAGAACCTCAAATTACTAAGAGCTCCCCATAACCAACAATGACACCATGGAGCATTTGGTCCTCCATTCTCATGTACAATACTGGCATTTTAGTATACTAAGGCTACAGATAGGAGAGTGGGCTGGATAGGGACTAGGTATTTATGGAGAAGACTGATGCTATGTATACAGGAGAGAGGGCGGGGCTGGCGCCTACCATCTGACCCTTATCTTGTACTTGCCGGCTGTAAGAGCACACACTGCACTATCAGTGTTTTCTCCAGTTCTATCCTAGATTCAATCCAAGCTAGGATATGAAGTTTCCCGCCCACTTGAATAGCATCTTTTGTAGTAGTAATTAGAAGCTTGAAGCGTGGTGAAACAATCTAAGAGGAACAGATTTACGCAATTAAGGTAACATTTTAATTCAGTATGTGCATGTTATTTTCACACAATATGCTATGTGGGGTCCTGTTCTTGATTTCGAAAGAGAAGTGATGAAAATTTGAAAACCTTTGCTTCCGCCTTGTTGATCTCCCTCTCAGTTCCCATGCCAACAGAAATTAGGACAATAATAACTAGATTCATCCTTCAAATTTTTATGAACAGTCTTCTCCTTCAACTAACTGTAATGTTCTTTGTTAAAATAGATTTTTCCTTATTGAATAAAGAAATCACTAATCTACAAGTGTAGTTGGATTTTAATTCTTTAAACTATCTATACAACCATGTACTAGCATATCAATTTTATTTTACAAATATTAATGATAATGTACAGAAACAAAGTAATAACAAACTAAGCATCGCTCCCAATATATTTGAAGTCAGCAACGTGAATCTATTTCCACCAATTGGTTGAGTTCATTGTTAGATCTATGGAAGATCTATAATGTCTAGATGCTGAGCAACTACATTGTACCACATTAGTTTTAGTTTACCCTTCCCTCTTTTGGCATGTTCTATCGAGTTTGTGTCTCTCTTCTGAAAGAGAGCCTCTTTTGGCTACGAAAAACGTGTGCAAACTACTTAAGTTGACCCCCTCTTAATATATCCTTAACCAGCATATTTCTCATTTAGCCTCCATTAAATTACATTCCATTTTTCTCTCTTCTATTTTCAACCACACAATTTTCTATAAAATAATATTACACGTAAATCGAAAACTTTTCTTTCTTTTTCAGACACTCATTTTTCAAAAAAATACTATTCTACCCATTTTCATTTCCAAAAAATGGGGGTCAAACGGGGGCTTATTATGTTATCCATTTTAGTGTAACAAAACATCATCTTAGCATTTCATTAAGTTTATCTTATGTAAATTTCATTCTTTGAGAGTCCATTACTCAATAACATAACTCATAGCAGGTCTAATCATTGTTCTGTAAACTGAGCTTTTAAGCTTATTAATGGCAATGTATAATAGAATTTAATCTTTAATAAATTTGTCACTTGCTTGTCATATTCCACCTTTTTTGCAATTGCCGTATACGGGTATCTATCTGTGCTTCTTAGGTTGGAAATTTAGGACTTATATAGCTTATTTCTGCCACGATATTAAGATAATTTTCTCCTTTAATGTGTAAATTTTCTCTGATTATACACGGATTATTTTATTTATTTTGTTTTCTTCCCGTATTTACATAGCCACATACTTTGCTTGTATTGTTATGCAATAAAAAATTAGAACTGAAAGAGTATCGATTAGCCTCTATTTTTAATTCTTCTTTCTTTGCTTGGATTTTTTCTGATCTTTTATGGGGGCAGCTATTTCTGTTGATTTCCTCGCTCAAAGAACATTATGAAGCCAATGGAGTTTTCCTTTATGTGTTCATGCTGAATTTCTGAATTTCCAAGTCTTGGCTGGAATATTTCTCAGTGATGACTTTTCCATTATACCAGTTGTCTTCATCTTATAAGCCGTGGCAGCCTCTTTTTGCAGGGATAGAAATGGATGACGATGAACTTGCTCATTTTGTTGAGCATGTTGATAAAGACAATAATGGAATTATAACTTTTGAAGAATGGAGAGATTTTCTTCTGCTTTATCCACATGAGGCTACCATAGAAAACATATATCACTACTGGGAAAGGGTATATCTTGTAGATATTGGTGAACAAGCTGTGATACCTGAAGGCATCAGCAAGCATGTTCATGCAACCAAATTTTTGATTGCAGGTGGAGTTGCAGGAACTGCTTCTCGTACTACAACTGCACCTCTTGATCGGTTAAAGGTGGTTTTACAAGTACAAACTGATCATGCTGCTATTGTTCCTGCAGTTAAAAAATTATGGAAGGAAGGTGGTTTTTTGGGGTTTTTTCGGGGTAACGGGTTAAATGTGTTGAAAGTTGCACCAGAAAGTGCTATCAAGTTTTACACTTACGAAACATTGAAAACTATAATTGGAGATGCTAAAGGTGAAAAGCAGGGGGATATAGGAACCGTAGGGCGACTTGTTGCTGGTGGATTGGCTGGAGCTGTGGCACAAACTTCTATTTATCCAATGGATCTTGTGAAAACTCGATTACAAACTTATGCTTGTGAAGGAGGAAATGTGCCAAGTCTGAGGAAATTATCTAAAGATATTTGGGTTCAGGAGGGACCTCGAGCATTTTACAGAGGGTTGGTGCCATCTCTTCTTGGAATTATTCCTTATGCAGGCATCGATTTAACTGCCTATGAAACCTTGAAAGATATGTCCAAGAAATATATTCTTCATGACGATGGTATTGTTTACATTTTTTGTGTTTCTGTACTTGTTCCACTTGCTTGTCTTTTATTTCATCGGATTTGTCATGATCGTTTCAATTGTAAAAACTTCCAATGTTATGCAGAACCTGGTCCTCTTGTGCAACTCGGTTGTGGAACGATTTCAGGAGCACTTGGAGCAACATGTGTTTATCCTATGCAGGTGATAAGAACGAGGTAAAATATTCACATTTTCGTTCTTTGCTACTAGTCAATTTTGTTCGTTTGTTCAAGTTCACAGAATATATATGATATTACTTCCTGAAAGCTAACAAATACTAGTTTTTAGAATGCAAGCTCAGAGCATGAATACAGATGCTGCATACAAGGGGATGTCGGATGTATTCTATAGAACATTTCAGCGTGAAGGTTTAAGGGGATTCTATAAAGGATTATTCCCAAATCTTCTTAAAGTTGTACCAGCAGCAAGCATTACGTATATGGTTTACGAGTTCATGAAAAAGAGTCTAGATCTTGAATAGATGATGCTCAACTACGGTTATATAGCTACACATTGGGAAAAAAACACTGATGATGATGAAAGTTGAATAAGATTATTTTTGAAACTGATGGTCATTATTTGGACATAAATTAGATTTTTTATCCCCCTCGAGATAGCTATGGGGGTTGGCTGACTAACTGCGTTGAGATTTAAGAATACATAACGATGTCTATGTTGAGTACTAGGTAATTGTTGTATACTTCTGCTACATACTCGCAACAAATACCAACTCTTCGGAATTTGCCATTTTTGCTATAATAATCTTCGGATACAATTTTCCTGTCCAGTGTATCATTGAATAGATATTGTTACTTTATTTGCTCACCGGATATGTGCTTTTTCTTGGTTGACATAAATTTTTCTAAAGAAAAATAATCTCTTAAGCGTGTTTATCTTTCTATCAGTATCATTTGTTTGTTTATTGGTTTGTGCTCCGTAATATCAAGCATGTTTGGCTGTGTTTCAAAGTGTTTTTTTGGTAAGTATCTCAGGACTTTTAGAAGATACATTTTGTCTGTTTAAGATGTAATCTTGGAATTTGTGTTTGACAAACTTAAACGTAGATAATCAACTTTTTCAAGCTGAGCCAAACATGATCCAAGAACATAATGCATGATGTTCGATTTTGACACTTTTTGAATTCTTTGTTTGGTCCATAAGTATTAGTTTGCAGCTGTAGGGTATGCTGTTTCCAACCCTCTTACTCTTTGAAAACCCCAGTCTGGCCTAGTTGGTCGAGTTGAACGGGGTTGGGCCTCGAGTGCTGAATGCATTGTGCACTCGATCAACTTTTGTGCATTACATATATGCCTTTAGAGAAGTTATGTTTATTATGATAGAGCTCAAAGGGCTATCTGTTTAGCGAGCAAATAACATTAACATATGCATTTTCCAAAAGTCAAGGATACATTGTAATAATGGAGAATAAAATCCTTAATGATAGTGAGCCATTAACATGATTAACAAGATTTTCTTTATAACCATGAACACCTTTTTTAGCTGGGAATATAATCCATTTCAAAAGGATTAAATTCTTGTTCTTGTTTATTTTAATTAATTGACCTTGGAGTATGAAGTCAAATCATAAAATGTGTAGATCATAAATGTGTAGTTGAAAAGTTGATACCTCATAAAATGCTTGATTGAAAATGAATTAGAGAAAAAAAAAAAAAAGAAGAAGGAATTTTTGAAAATGAGAGCCAAACATGATGAATGCATTTTGGAACCCATGTTTGGTTACGTGTTTTATATATATAATAGTTGTTATCACGTGCGTTGTACGAATTTTGTATTTATCGTATTTTTATTAGTGTATGAATTTTAGTTTTTTTGGAAAATTTTTGAAGCAATATCTAAAAATATTTCCATGATATAAGAAAATAATTGTAAATTATTTTTACAATTACATAGCAGTATGTTATTTAAAAAATATGCTTGTATATTTTATGCTTGAATAAGAAATATACAAATTATTTTGGTTGTATTTTTTGATAATGTTAATATGATTGAATTGAATGTAAAGATTATATTTTTAAATTTTGTGTAATTCAATATTGTAAAATTAAAAAAAAAAACTCTCCGCACAGTGTGGAGAGAGAGTCGAACCAAGTGCGGAGTAAAAACAAAAAAAAGTGAGAAGAGAAAAAAATCTTTCCGCACAGTGTGGAGAGAGTTGAACCATGTGCGAAGAGTTGGCAAACTTTTCGCACAGCGCGAAGTAAAAAAAAAAAAAAAAAAAAAAAACCTCTCAGCACAGTGCGGAGAGAAGACAAACCAACTCTCTGCACAGTACGGAGAGCCAAAAAAAAACTCTCCGCACTGTATGAAGAGAGTTAATCTCTTCAAATAGTGCGGAGACTCTTCGCACAGTGCGTAGAGAGTCGAACTATGTGCGGAGTAAAAAAAAAGTGCGGAGAGTTGAGAAAAAAACTCTCCGCACAGTGCGGAGAGAGTTGAACCATGTGTGGAGAGTTGACAAACTCTTCGCATAGTGCGGAGTAAAAAAAAAACTCTCCGCACAGTGCGGAGAGATGACAAACCAGCTTTCCGCAGAGTACAGAGAGAAAAAAACTCTACGCACAGTGCGAAGAGTTGTTTTCAAATTCCTTAATTACAAGTCAAATTTCAAGATTGTAAATTTTTCGTATATACAACGAAACAGAGTCGAAAAATATGGCTCAAAATCAATTATGTCTTCTTTAAATTCCAATCACTGCTCAATTTCTGAGCATGCAAATCATATTTATGGTATTGGAAAGGAGCTTTCTCGTGATTCATACAATGAAATAATAAGTGAATTGTGTAGAGAAGGGGATATTGATAGTACCACGGCATTGCTTTCACAAATGGAGGCTCTAGGGTACCACCCAAATTCAATATTTTACACTTGCTTGATAACAGCTCTTGGATATTAGAAGCAGATACAATTTTTAATGAAATTATACTTTCGGATTGTATGTCAGGAATTAAAGTATTCAATGCATTGCTCAAAAGTTGTTTGAGAAAAGACCTCTTAAAACTTGCATTTAAAGTCCTGAGAGTTTTTGTTTTTCTCTTCACACTATGCAGAGAGATAGTTTATCATCTCTCCACACTTTGCAGAGTCTTTTTTTTGTTCATGTGCGGAGGATTTTTTTTTTGGTCTCATGGAGTTTATATATACTAAAATTATTATTATTTTTTTAATTTTGTTGGCATGATGCGTGTATGGAAGAATATTTGTCAATCATCATAAACAAAATTCTTCACAAAATGTAAAAATAAAAATAAAAATGCATAATAAATCTTCTTATTATGCCAATAAAATTATAATATTTTTTTTTTTTTACAAATAACATAAAAAAATCATTTTTATCTTCAACAAAAAAACATATTTAAAAATTAGCAATTTCATAACCACTTTTTTTTTTAATTCTCGAAAATACAATGATTAAAAAAGAAACAATATTGAATTACAACATTTAATACTTAAGAAATTCAATATTATATAAATTTTATAGATTTATGACAAATTATAAATCCATATATACAGCTTACCGTATTTGCAGACAGCTTATCGCATATACAGCTTACTGTATATGCTGCTTACCGTATTTGCAGCTTACCTATTTGCAGCCTACCGTATTTGCAAATAACTTAATGTATTTGCACCTTACCGTATATGTTGCTTATCGTATTTTCAATCTATCGTATTTGCAAACAATTTATCGTATTTCTAACTTACCGTATATGCTGCCTATCTTATTTGCAGCTTACTGTATTTTTATATACCGATTTTTACACTTACAAATACCGAGAATAAAGAACACGATATATTCACTTACCAAATCGAATTTCAAAAAAAAATTTAAGATTTTTATTTTCTTAACATAAGCATAAAATAAATATTAAATATATATGAAACATAAAATATAAATACATATGAATATGGTGCTCAATCTTTAATTTTTCAATATTGAATTATACAAAATTTAGAAATATAATTTTCACATTCAACTCAATCATATCAACACTATCAAAGAATACAATCAAATAATTTGTATAATCTCGTATATTTCTTATTCAAGTATGAAATATATAAGTATATTTTTTTTAGAGGACACAATACTGTTATGCAATTGTAAAAATAATTTGCAATTATTTTCTTATATTATGGAAATATTTTTAGATGTTGCTTCAAAAACTTTCCAAAAATTAAAATTCATACACTAATAAAAATACGATAAATGCATGTGACAGTCACTGTGCGGAGTTTTTTTTTTTTAACTTCGCATTGTACGGAGAGTTTGCCAATTCCCCGTACTGTGCAATTTTATTTTTTTTTGCTTTTTTTCCTCCGCACTGTACGGAGAGTCCGCATTTTGTGAGAACAGTGTCTGCACAGATTGTGCGGACTATCTACACAGAATGCCATCTCTCCGCACTGTGAGGAGAGATTTTTTTTTTTTACTTTGCATTGTACGGAGAGTTTGTCAACTCTCCGCACATGGTTTGCCATCTCTTCACATTATGCGGAGAGTTTTTTCTTCCTTTTTTACACCGTACATGGTTTGCTTTTTTCTTTCTTTTTTTACACCGTACATGGTTTGTCATCTCTCTACACTGTGCGAAGTGTTTATTTATTTATTTAAAGCTCATGTGCGAAATTTTTTTTTTTTTGCTCATAACAGTTTATATTTATTAAAATTATTATTATTATTTTTAATACTAGTGGGATGATGTATGGAAGAACATTTGTTTGACATAAACAAAATGGAAAATAAAAAATGATATCATGCATAGTCAAATTGGGTTCATTTACTATTGCATGAATAGTAGACTATCATTCCCCTTTTTATTAGAAGTTAGATATATTTTAATAGATGTGTTCGGATATGTTGGTTTTTTGTCTTTTATTTTTTTATTTTTATTTTATTTTTCAAAAAAAGGATAGTCATCCCTCATCTCACTTATAAAATAAGTAACTGACCTTTAGTTATAATTAATAAAAAAAATTATTTATTTAAAAATTACTTATTTAGTACAGGTAAATTCTTGGGCATGGGTAGGCACGCTCCATGTGCGAACAAACGAAATAATTATACATTCTACTAAAATTTGTCTAGATGGTAGACAATTCACCAAGTTTTTTGTTCAAGTAAATTACTGTAAATTAACAAAGCAACGTAAAAATGAAAAGCTAAACCTGAAAAATCCCAATTGTTTTTACAAAAATGCTAAACAAACAGGGATTAAAACACATGGTGATTTGACAGCCTGTGATTGAGTGATTTTATGTGTCTTTTTTTTTTTTTTCCAATTTAAACCTGCCAAAGTGTTGTCTAGGAATAAAAATCTATCATTAACTCCGACTGTATAGCAAAATTGTTGTTTTTATTCTTTTAATTGTGGTGGTCCGGCGTACTTGTCTAAATCATTGAATTGTGCCGAATAACTTTTCTTTACCTGCATTAAATATTAATATAATATACTTGTTAATCTGTGGATTCCAGTGCCATATACCACCAATAAATTCATGGTAGTGGCCCTTACTTACTTTTCGTTATATTATTTGTTAAAAAGTATAAATTGTCGTTTTTATCCAGTGGATAAGGCGTGAAATATTCTCTTGACCCTTCGAATTACGGAGCGACTTCTCGAGCTATTACTTCTTATTTTACTCATAAACTTAAAAAATTTATAAGCTTTCCATTTTTTAATTAATTTGTATAACTTTTTTTTTATAAAATAATCAATTTTTTAGTAAGAATGAACAGATCAGTTATGGGCCTTGATCAATGAGAGCACTTGGTTTATAACATGACAAGCAGAATGCATGGCTCACATTAATGAGCAGTAGAGTAAATGGAGCTAGGCTAATTAAGCTTAAAAAAGTTTAGTTATAAGTAAATTCTAGTATAAGTACTTTTTTTTAAAACATTATTAAGAATTAATTTAATAAACATTAGAAAAATGGTTACTTAAAATTGATTTTTGAAACTTAGTCTAACATTATTAGCCCTAGCTAGAATAGACTTCTAACGTCACATATTTTACATCGAAAATTAAAAAGAGAAAAAAATAAGAATTTTGCTATTCTAACAAGGCTTTTGGATAGGCCCTAAATGAAAATCAGATCAAGGGTCGAGGTGTTGCCACCTCAATCTCTGTCATTTGGTCCGATCAAAAGGCCCTCACTATATCAGGGCTCACAAAATAATTATGAGTCAACTATATAAATCTCTTGGATCTAAATTGCCTGTCAAAATTTGCAGAGAAGAGAAGGAATAGTTATTTCATCAGGAAAGTTTCCAACTGTCCTCAAAGGCTTCCAATAATCCATCATGCTACTGGTATCAATCTTCCCTAGCAATAGAGTATTGGAAGACTTGTGGACCGTTGAAGACACATTTCTTTCATCGAGGTAAATCGGGTCGAGCCATCTATCTAGATTACAAAAGGTACGTAAAAAGACGAAATCGAATGTATAGCAACAATAACTACTATAAATAAGATTTTTACTTCATTTGTGTACCGTAAAGATAATTATTTTCTTGATGTATCAAAATCAAGAGGTTATGCAATTTTCTTCTAATTTCCCCTGTTGATTTATGTTAAAATTACTTCAAATTATAGGGTTTTGATCGTTTTCATCGATCTAGATAAAATTTATAATGTTTTCTATCCTCTACTGGGTGCGGCAAATTAATTAATTGTAAGTCAAGGGCTCAAATTAGGGTTTACAAATGATTTTCAAGCTGAGCGTAGATTGAAAAAATCTGGTGTAATTAATATGTGATACGTGGATTTTTCTTCTCTTCTCTCTCTCTGAAAATTTTGATACGTAAATTGGACATTTAAAGATTAGGATTTAAAGAAATTGAGATTTTTCGAATTATGTTCTCTTCCCTCATAAATCAGGTCGAATCCGATAAAAGTTACATAAAGAGCACTCTAAAAAATAAATAAATTGTACTCTACCAAGTCAATTTATGATTATTTCTTTTAAACTTCGAATTACTGCAATTAGGGTTTCAGGCATAGTAGAAATCTTGACTATTTCTACAGCCATGTTACAACTAATTAAGCATTGAACTGTTGGAGTTTTAGTATTATTATTATTATTATTATTATTATTATTATTATTATTATTATTATTATTATTTATTTATTTATTTATTTATTTTTTGGGGAAATCTGCTGTAATTTCTTTGGTATATAGTAAGCATCGTTTGTATTTGTGAATCATTCATTAAAAAAAAAAAAAAAAAGGGAAACAAGAAAAGAAAGAAAGTAATACATTTGACATGTGGTCTAATGTCCAGTCCAATCTTATAATACTAAACTTATAAATAGGTATGTAAAATATGTATCTGAAATGTATAAAATATGATTTCATGTTTTGAAAGTTTTTATAAATTCTGAAAAGTATAATAATTAATTAAAGTAAAAATCTATCCTTCCCGACTTGTGTATTCTGGTCGATGAAAACCTTAGACATTCATCAACTTCGGCAAAACTCATATTTCTTGTTTCTAATTAGTATTAACCACAGGTACATGATAGATTAGTTCCAAACACAAAAGCGTCAAGTTAACAACTTTGTAGTAAATTTAAAAAATTATTCACCAAATTTATTGTTAGTCAATAATTAATAAAGTTCTTGCATATAAACTATTTGTATTCCACAAGAAAAATAGACTAACATATACTCCTCTTCTTTAATTTCGTGTTGCATGCTCTTTCGAGAATAATTTTACATTTCTTTCAGGAGTTTATACAAGTTTATTTATCTTCTGTTTGGTAGAAATTTTTTGAGAATAAATTTGTAAAAATTGAATTTATTTTTTATTTTTTGGAGGATTTATAACATACACAGCCCTTAAGTGTCTTGCGCAGACAGAAAACCTAGCTCAAGCCACGTCACAAGTACGAGCTGGATGCATAGTAATTGGTCTCCTGCTTCAAGCTTAGTCAGAGTACTTTTCTCTTGGAAGTATGGAATAAAACAAAAGTGAAATTTCTTTGTTATCTTCTCTCAGTTCTGGACTTCCTATGGAGGTTATGAGAAACTTATAAATTATAATAGTTTGATTATAGTAATGGCAAGTTCAACAAGGTTTTGGTCCCAACTTCCAAGAGGTTGGAAAGAGCAAGGTCTAAACAAGTGCTACATATACTTTCACAAAGAGATAGACAACCCTTCTCTCTCCCTTTTTTGCAGGAAACTCATCTCTGAATTAGCTACGCCATGTCTAGCAAATATAACAATCCCCAGCCCCCCAATCGGACAACATTAGTAATCTAAGTCTCCATCAAGGTCCAACTCTGTCTCTTTGTGCCAGTGCCACCGCCTTATGTGAGCACAATTTCCTGCGGACTTTCTCAGCCATCAGAGAGAGAGAGTGGGGCTGGAGCATGCAAACCCTCCCATTTCTTCCATTTCGTGCACTCTTATTTGCAGAAAGTTGGCATTCTCTGAACTCTCTCCCTCAGTGGCCCTTTCATGACTTTAGGTTGAAGGAGAAGCCTTTGAGATGTGGGGGTTCAGAAATTGCCAGCCTTCTTACCAGTTTCAACAGTTCATTAATAAGCCGCGTGCAGATATATATACAAAATTAGTAAGTATTAATTTGTTTTAGAAACTTTTAAACTCTAACTTACATGCTCTAACTCAATGATAGAATCCGAAAAATAGCCTTTTGTTTTTCTTTGAAAAGTTATAATTCAAAATATTGTTCTCTGGATTTCTCCATCTCTTTTTTCACTTCTAAAGAATTGGATTTTGTTATGTTTTGTACAAAATAAGAACCCTTGCTACCTGGCATGACTTCACTACCAATGCCAGATGTAATATGCTTAATTTAAATTTTGTCCAATTCCTTCCACACAAACAATAAAACAGTAATAATACAACCCTCTTTATTTGCTACTGTGCAAGTTGAACAATGTTTTGGTTTATGGAACTTCGAAGGATATTTAGTGTCAACGGGCTTCATGTTTTTTCATCCTTTTTCTCATATCGGTTGACAAGAGGATGATTTGAACCATCAGAATCCCTTTTCTATTCGGAGAAGTTCTTTTTCAACGTGCATTACTCTTTTATGCCAATATAGCATCAACTTGAATAGTGGGTATTTGAAATTCTATTTTCCTGATATGTATGGTTATTTTTGTTGGAATGTTTTAAACTTTCACAATAAATATTAATTTTCATTTTGATTTCAATATTAACTTTTTATACAAAATTAAATCTCATAATTTAGGTTGTAACTTAAGAATAAAAGTTTCAACCTTTCAAATTAAAACCTCTTAATTTCAAGTTTTAACATAAAATTAAAATATCATAATACATATTATAACTTATGCTTTAATGATATAAATGTGGGGGGTTGAATTTTCTACTATAAAAAAAGGTGGATTTCATATCCTTTGACACACAAAAAAATCAAACACAAAAGATACTCTTTAGTATTTTCATACTACTCTCTAATCATTTTATACTATATTTCTAAAGTTTGTAGCAACTTGATGAAAGACTCGTTCAATTATCTCTCTATGGTCGTGCCCATAGAAGGAGAGTCACATGAGTTTTATCTTGGAGCCATGTAGCATTGAAAGAACCCGCACGAAGGGTAGACAACACAACTTTAAGACAGCGTCCTCTATGTGACTCCAAAGGCTTGATTTTCTAACTCTCTTCTTATATTTATATTATTTTGAATCATGTTAATGTTATTTAATTGAATTGTGCAAATCATTAATTTCCCCTACAATCTAAAGTCGTGTTGTATGATTTGTGAGTAGATATTTGGTATTGTGATTTTCAAATATAAAATCACATGTAAGTTCACCAACAGTAGTAAAACCAGCCATGAACTGTCATTTAGATGATAGAAATAAATATTGGGTCATGAATGCCATGGATAGTTTGGGAGATTAATTATAAGATTGCTTAATACTTTTTTATATTTAAAGAATTGAAATAATTTGTCATTTACTTTGCACATTTTACATAACCTAATAGATTATAACAACATACTCTAGAAGAAATACATCAAATATGATAGCCTCTTTGTCATCAATCAGAAAGAAAATTTTAGTTAATTTTCTTCTTCCTAATATACGAATTTTCATTTCAAGCATGTAGTTACTTCATCATGTTATGTCGACACCATTTGAAATATATACGGAAACTGTTAGTATAATTTTGTAGATTTCTGTCTAATTTTGTTATGCTTTCCATCCACAAATGCAGTAAAACCTCACTTAGCTTGCAAACAAGTTGGAATTTTGATATAAATGTTCTCAACTCCTAAAAAAAATAAAAAATAATAATAAAAATAAAACAAATCTTGGGAGCTTGTAAGCTTAGATTTTAATATTCTACTGAATGTGATGAGCTAGATTAAATTCAACCTTAGATCATGTTTAGCATCGTTAATTCTAGCTTGAGCTTGAAATATTTTCTAAAGTATTAGGCTCTATTGGAAGAAGCTCGATCTCATCAAAATTTTGCATCAACTGTTATTTCCTGAAAAGTGTAAAACGAGAGACTTAGATCGTTGAATGAATAGCTTTAAACAAATAAAGTAAAGAAAAAAAGAAAAAGGAATAAAAACTTCAAATCTAAAAATAACTGATAAACTCAAATTAAATAAATTATTCGTAAGCAACGATGCCAAAAACTTGTTCGTGCAAAACCCGCAAATGTACGAGATCGTTGACAAGTAATAGATTTGATGAGTTGAGAGTATCATCCCACGAGGAATAAAATTTAATTGAGTGTTCTAGTCTTTAATTAGAATCAAAGTAAACAAAATAAGTGTTTTGTGATTTTTAATTGATCTAATTTAATCTACGAAAGAGTGTAAAATTCAAATTTAATACGTAGATGGGAATAGTGTATTGGATTACGAATCAACCTATTATTCTACTGAATGTGATGAGCTAGATTAAATTCAACCTTAGATCATGTTTAGCATCGTTAATTCTAGCTTGAGCTTGAAATATTTTCTAAAGTATTAGGCTCAGCTTGGTTTGTAAGGACCACTAATCAAAAAATTACCCTTTAAGCATAATAATTGAAAGGAACCATGTCTAGTTGGTACTCTGACATGTGGTTTATTATTCTTCAACAATAATTGGTAAGAAAATCAGTCCTCAAGTCTCGAAGCATGCTTCGGTTGTTAAAATTTAAATATCCTAAGCCTTCTTGATTGTGAGATTTTCTTGTGTATGAGCATCTGAAATTGAAATTGTGCTGATTATAAAGTGTACTTATCTATAAAATTTATTAAAACATGATTTTCTTAGAATATATGATTAATCTTAAACAACGATTTAAGTCAATTAGTGCACTCTTCAACTTAAGTTTCTGTCATCTTGATATTAGTTCAATTATGTGACTTAAAATATTGTGCCATCCTACCAAGAATTTTTCAATGCTTATGCTAATACAATAAGAACTTGCTAGTGATTACTTTAAATGAGTAAATTTTCAGTGAAATTGTAGTAGTACAACGAATTCTATTCCAATTAAATCAAATCTTAGTTGCTACTTGTTTATCTTGTCTAAAAGGAAGTGGACTGCCATTACTATCACATAAGGCTATGGAGGAATCTCATTATAATTAGAATGTGAGTCAGATGTTTAAAAGTAGAGCTGGTAATTATTTTTGATTATGTATGGCAGTTGGTTTAAGCATAACATAATCAATAGGGAAATTAATTAGATAATGACAAACGTAATTTTGGGTTCTAAAAACATTGTTTTCATCATTATGGTGACTCAAGAGGATAACTGTTACAATATAGTGTATTATGCCAGTTAAAATTAGGGGCTAAGAAACTATTGATTCCTGTCTTTCCTTCTCTATCTAGTAAAATTATACAAGCATCACAGATAATTGTTTTCTCAAAGGTTAAAGAAGAGGCAGTGATTTGACTTGGGATACAAAGACATGTTGCCATGTATAATGCTACTCCAAATAACATGTATAACTGGAATTATCTAAATTGAAGTATGTTTGCACTTGACCATGCTATCATCCTAAAGATAATTTCATTGTGGGAAAGAAGTTCCAAAAGTTGTGGTATTAAAAACTTTGGATATATGTGTGCTAAATGAACATTAACATCAACTTAATATCCCCGATGATGATAATTAACAATTTAATATAGTCACTCATATATGTGATGTGTACGTATGAGTAGGGTATGCATTTATGATTGATATTTGTATAGTCTCAATCGACTATAAAAATCAATGTTATATTTGTGACATATGAATATTGGTACCTCATTTGGAAATGAATTATTGTGTTTAAATTAAATTTAAAAAAATCATATCTTTGAAATGTGTGGGTATTTAAAAATTTCAAATAGATGCACTGTACATTGTGTAAAACTGACTTTTGAAAGTACAGAAATAAAACTAGAGACACGGAGGTCAAATACAAGAGTTGAATGGATGCAAATGTTCAAACATGTGATTAGAAGTCAATTTTAAGTTTCACTATTTATCTTATTATATTTAACGTGACTTTAATATTTTGAAATATTTTAGAAGATTTTGCAGATGTACTGATGTGCAAGCAGAAAATAAGAGTTTGCAAATATTATGGTACCAAATTATTGTCCAAGAGGGAAATGAATATATTGAAATCCATGGATATATATATATATATATATATATATCATCGAAGTGGATGAGTTTAAGTTCATAAGGGAGTCACCTCCAAAAGTAACCCAAGCTTTGTGATTGGAGATCCCATGAAGAAGGTTCAATGTGGTAGAAACAACCGTACTGCATGACTTGTATAGCACTATCTTATTTGTGCTTATCCCTATGGTGATATAGTGCTAATAATAATGTGATGTTAGGAAGGGTTTAACCCTAAATGAGTACCGAGACGAGAATTCTCATAAGGTGTGAGTCACACGCACTCTTGAAGGACTCACTTATGTAAGAGTTGCCATGAGGTCGTGACTATGAGATTGGGTTATTCTCTAGAGACTCTTATTAGAATCAAGATTAGAGCGCATGACCATTAAGAGCTCTATCCGCTATGAACTGAGCCTAAATCAATACTGTAAGTAGAACAATTGTAATTTGACCAAAGAGACCTAATCAAGGGTTAGTCCATTATGGCTCTTTCAAATGGAAATTGTTATCATTAAGTGATGTTCAAATATAAAAGACACCTACACCTATTACATAGTATAACCACTATAACAAAAATGACCTTTTGCAACATGCAAAAGGCAACATCCGTTAATTAAATGTTGCTAAAGGGGTCAATGACAACATTCATTCAAATACGTGAATGTTGCCATTGCTTAATATAATTGAGCTTTGGCAACATTTTTTAAATGAATGTTGTCAACGATGCTTTGCAACGTTTATTTAGTGTTGCGAAAAGTTTTACCTTTCGCAACGTTTATAAAATATTACAAAAAGTTGTCTTTCGCAACGTTTATAGAACGCTGCAAAAAACTATCTTGCGCAACATTGTAGAAAACGTAGCGAAAAACTTTCTTTTGCAACGTTTATGAATCGTTGCAAAAGTTGACTTCCGCAACATTTATGAAACGTTGCAAAAGCTTTTAATATATTTACCCAACCCAACTTATCTACCCAATATCCACACTCCATTAACCTAAAATTCCCAAAATCTGAACTTCAGTCCGGGGCTGCTCTGCTCGTCGTCGAACTATCGAAGTCTCGTCTCTCCACCAGTCCGCCTCCTCAAGTCCACCACCGAACGCTCCCCCCGCCAGTTCGCTCCATGCCTCCACCTTCGTTGGGGTTAGAAATTTTATTAGATTGAGAATTTTATGGCAAAGTCGATCGCTCTCCCCGTCCGTCCGCTCCACGCCTCCACCTCTGCTGGGGTTAGAAATTTTATTAGAATGAGAATTTTAGGGCAAAGTAAATTATTTGTAATCCCATTGAAATTGAAACTTAATGGCTTAAATTTACACCATAAGCTCTCCCATGTTCTTTGTCATCAGGCCAACCTCATTATTTGTCCCGTTGATGACTTAAACCAATGATACTCCCTGAGCAAGTTTAATTTTAGTAATAGCAACTTTGTGTGTTCTTTGGTATATGACTCACCCCCATATTGATATGATATTTGAAGGAGATTTATGGATGTTTACTTTAAATATTATGAATAAGTCAAAATGAAATCCTGCATTTAGGTTCTGCTTGAAGGCTATAGCTGATATCACACGAGAGCTTTCTAGTTAACCGTGAAAGTAGCTTTCTACATTTTTCCTTTTGTTTGCAAAAATGGGAAAGTGTCCATTGCTTAGTTTTGGAGGAGTTCTATAATCACGGTAGTAATGGTTTTTTGTTCCTTTTATATATTTGAATACTGAAAAGATTTTTGGTGCACTATACTGGTCTTTAATCTACACTTAGAAAGTGGTTAAAATGTGCATAATTGGTTTTGTTGGAGCTTGGAATGCACTGTACTCATTAGTGTTGAACTGTACTGACAGTTTATATTTTTGCTTGTTGAATTGCTTAGTTTCCTTAGGAGAAAGGGTCATTCTTGATATGCTCAGATGTTTCTCTATGGACTATATTTGAAACACATTATCCAATTGTTGCTATCATTTTTGTTCTTAATTGTTCTTTCTAGTTGTTTTATTCCCCTGTATTTATGTTAAAGGCTTGAACTAAAATTCATTTTTCTCTTTTGTAGTGAGGACTTAAAAAGTTTCAGGAACACAGCTATCTTATTCAAGTAGATCGAGATGTCATAGTCATGGTGGGGGTCGTGCTCGGATAAACCTTTTTGGTTGATTTGCAAGAGTTGTCAAGGTTGTTTGGGCATTCTTACCATTCTTGCGAGGACTGTTGGCTTCAGTCAGAAATCATTGAAATGTTATTGACTCTATATCATCTGTTTTAAGTGTTGTCATATGAAATCCAGAATGATCAATATGCTAATGTCATATGCATATGCAAATCCTTTTTTTCAGAATTTATTTGGTTGTGTTTAAAGAATTACAGTTTACTCACAATCAATGGCAGACCCTATCCAACTAATCCAAGTTAACATTTTCACTTTTTCAGGCCCTTGAAGTATAGCAGAAGCTAGAATGGAATATGAGATTCAGATTGGATCCCGTATTTCAAGAATTAATCAAGTCAATAGTGTAAGTTGTCGCTTTTAGACTTGTTCTACTCCCAAGTGGGCCTCTTCACAGTAATCAAAATTCTTTTGTTTAGACTTAATAGAGGTTCCAAGCCATCATTTTCTCTGGACAAGGGAACTGCTTGGCGAAGGAACTCCACAAGTAAGAAGATATCTTCTTCTAGAAGTACAACTGAAGTTCTGCTGTCCCACTTGAAAAATAAAATGTAAATCGATTTAGGGACATGAACTTTAAAAATTGATTGAGTGAACAAGTTGTCATTATGACTTATGACTTATGTGTTAATGCCTAAATATGATTTAAGATGCGGTAAAATTTCTTTATCAACTTCTTACTCCATTTCAGTAAATATACAACTTTCTTGCCTTCTCATTCTTCTTTCTGTTATTGTAAACTGGATCTATGTATTTTCACCTCGATTAGTTTCTTTATCAATTTCTGTTATTGTAAAATGCAATCTCTTTACTGACCCCCAAATCAGTCCATCTTATTTCAAATGCATAATGGTGTTAGTTTATGAGCCCCAAATTTGAGATTTTTCCTTTCTGAGAAGCTTCATCTGGGTACTTATTAAATGTGCAAGAATCTTCTAAGGAAGCTTCTTGTACTGCATGTTGTTCTTAACTAAACCCTGGTCCTAGGAGTTAAATCCTGCTATGTTTCTGGCGTAATTTTGTGCTAATGTCCTCATTGCTTGGAATCAACTATGAGCTTTTATACCACAGTTGATTGCTTCCCCATTTGGTCTTGCCTTAACAAATGTAAGCATCCTTGTAATTTGTCTTGTAACAGCTGATGAAATTGTCATGGTAGTATCTTGTAGCTGATCTTGACGTTGACATGATCAAAAGAGTGACATTGATCTTAGTCTTCAGAGTTTTAAGAAACAAAGAATCTTTGTTGTCGACTCCAAACCTTTTATCTCAATACTCTGATTTCTTTAGTTTTGAACGTTCACCAATTCTGATTAAGACCTTGAGATCATCCATGAAAGAAATAAGATTCAAAGCCAACATACAAAAAAAGAAAACTAGGATATGTAATATCCAGTTATCAAGCTAGCGCCTTGCAAGAACCCCCCAAAGATATGTAAAGCATTTTAAATTGTATACCAAGAGGGCATCTTCTTACTATGTGCATTAGAATTATTTACTCTATGCCATACAGTTAGAAAATCTCGTTTACTAACTACATAAACTACGAGCTCTCATGATCCAGTAATTGGTGTTTTGATGGACAAAATAACATCTTACTCCGCAAAGTTTCCTTTAGAATTGAGTATTTTACCCCCCCCCCCCCCCGCCAAAAAAAAAAAAAAAAAAAAAAAAAAATTAGAAAAAAGGAGTAAAAAAAAGCTTAGTAAAAATTAGTTTGTGTATATTGGAGTCATTTGATATAGTTATTTTCTTTGCTTTTCTTCTCGATTATAATTGGTACAAATGTCTAAAATTTGGCTTATTTTTATCTCCATTTTATTATAGGCCGGGACCGATATTTAAGACACATGTCATGTCGAAGATTGTTGAGAAGAAAATTAAGGATTGCCAATAGGGTGGTTTCACTCACTACTTAGTGGTTTTTTTTTTTTTTTTTGGGGGGAAAATGTATTGGATTTTTAGGTGTTTTAGAATTTTGGATTTTGTACAAATATTGTTACATTTTAGAGTTCAATTAATAATGATTATTGGAGTTATTTGATATAGTTATTTTCTATTATGTTTGATGTATGTGAATTACTTTACCAAAAAAAAAAGAAAAAAGGACAGTCTTTTGCAACATTTGACAAACGTTGCAAAAGAAAGGATTTTGCAACATTGAACAGACGTTGCAAAACCCTTTCTTTCGCAACATTTAACAAACGTTGCAAAAGCTTATCTTTTGCAACGTTTGTTAAATGCTGCAAAAGATAGGTTGTTGCAACGTTGAATAAACGTTGCAAAAACTTTTCCCCTCAACGCAAACATCGGTCTTTGCAACACAAGCTAAAATGTTGCAAAAGGCCTTTTGTAACGTTTTTTGGTCGCTGCAAAAACTTTTTTTTGGCGTAGTGAACATTGCCACTATTATATAAATTTATTTATTTTGAAAGTTTAAAACTAGTAGGGGATTGTTGGAACATATTTTAAAGTTTTAAACCTTCACAATACATATTAATTTTCATTTTGATTTCGATATTAACTTTTAATACAAAATTAAATCTCATAATTTAGGTTGTAAATTAAGAATAAAAGTTTCAACCTTTCAAATTAAGACCTTTTAGGGGGTATTTGATAGATATTTTTATGTAAAAATGCATTTTAAAATTGTAAATTGATGTGAAATGTGTAATTGAGAAATAAGAAAAAGTTTTTGATTTACGTGTAATATTATTTTAATAAAGAATGTGTGGTTGAAAAGAAGAGAGAGAAAAATGCATTTTGAAAAAAATAGCTACCAAACACGATCTTAATTTCAAGTTTTAACATAAAATTAAAATACCATAATACATATTATAACTTATATTTTAATGATATAAATGTGGGGGGTTGAGTTTTCTACTATAAAAGGGGTGGATTTCACATTCTTTGACAAAAAAAAAAAAATAATAATAAAAAAAAAATAAAATAAAATAAAACACAAAAGATACTCTCTAGTGTTTTCATACTACTCTCTAATCATTTTATATTATATTTCTAAAGTTTGTGGCAATTTGATGAAAGGCTCGTTCAATTATCTTCCTATAATAGTGCCCATAGAAAAAGAGCTACGTGGGTTTTATTTTGGAGTCGTGTAGTGCCGAAAGAATCCGTACGAAGGGGAGGCGATACAACTTTAGGACAACGTTCTCGATGTGACTCTCAAGGCTTATTTTCTAACTCTCTTCTTATATTTATATTATTTTGAATCATGTTTATGTTATTTAATTGAATTGTGTTATTTATAACTTTAGCTAATATATTTATCTATACACAAATCACCAATTTTCCCAACAATTTTTTGCCTATAACTCACGGCTATATGGCATGCAATGATCGCGTTCGGGTTCTGGACCATTAATTTGCATAGCTCAGAAAAAATTACTTCAATCCGGCAGCTCTCATTTCCATTGTTCAATCGAATAAGGAATTGCTAGGCTTTTTTTACTAAAATTAGATTAGATTTTTTGGGAAAAATAGAATTTCCTTTGTCACACGAACTTTTATTGAAAAAAAATATTATTTCCTTTATTTCATGTGTTTTTATTGAAAAAGAAATTGTTTCTTTTAATCTACATTATTGTTTTATCTTGTTTTCATATTTGTGGTATTTCTAGGGTTTGACATGCTTTCTATAAATACTAGACTCTTTTCACAAGTTTTATAATACTGAAATACAGAATAATTGTGCAGACACGATCATTATATTTGTTTTCTCGATATTCATCAATTGAATAAACTACTCAATTCTTCTACCAATTAATTATTTGCATTTTATTTTTTTATTTATTCATGATTATATATTTCATATCGTGTCATATATATTACCACGATCCGTTTTATTTCCCAACAAATGGTCTCAGAGCTATTAATTGTAATTTGTTCGAGGTTTTTTTATTGATGGCACCATGAAATATAAAATTTTGCTCTTGGATCGCAATATAAGATTCTCGTTGTGGCAAGTGAAAATGCAAGCTGTATTCGCATAGATGAATTTTGATGATATATTTTTGGAATTTGACAAAATATCCACAACTTGGACAACGAAGGAGAAATAACAGAAGGATCAAAAGACACTTTCACAAATTTATCTTTATCTCTCTAACAATACTTTTCAAGAAGTTTTGAACGAAAAAGGACAACTACGTTGTGGTTGAAGTTTGAGCAATTGTGCATGACTAAAAGTCTAACAAGCAAATTGCATCTAAAACCGATGTTGTATTCTCATTGTATGGTAGAAGGTGGATCTTTAGAAATCATCTAGCTGCGCTCAATGAGATCATCGCTGATTTGAAAACTTTAGAGATAAAGTATGATGAAAAATATTTGGCCCTAATCATTTTGTGTTCGCTGCTCGCTTCGTTTACTTTGTTTAGAGATACGATCTTGTATAGTCGTGATACTGTCACCATTGAAGATAAGTATGATGCATTATTTTCAAAAGAGAGATGAAGCATCTGGTTGGATCCGAGGCTAGAAATGGAGAAGGCCTTATTGTTCATGGTAATCGGGGAGAAGAGGTAACTCAAAATCAAATTTCAGTAATCATGTTTGTTATTATTGCAAGAAGAAATGACATATTAAGAGATATTGCAACAAATTACAGAACAAAAGTAATTTAACTGCAAATCATAGAAAACAATCAAACACTTCAGACGAGACCAACATGGTCAAAAACTATTTGAGTGATGGAGATATTTTGACGATTTCTAACATATAATCCAAACCTGACGAGGAGTGAATTTTGGATACAACTTGTGCATTCCATATGAGTTCCAATCGGGATTTGTTTGAAACATATGAAACTGTGATGCAAGGTATCGTTGTCATGGGTAACAACGAACCTTGTAAAGTAGCTGGTAATGGTAGAGTCAAATTGAAGCTAGTGGATGGAGCATGTAGAACACTTGCTCACGTTCGACATATTCCAGACTTAAATAAAATATCATTTTGTTGAATACTTTTGATTCAAAAGGGTACATTCTCTGGAAGAGGTGGAGTCTTGAGAGTTCGAAAGGGTGTTCATGTTGTATTAAGGAGGCGAAAGATGTCCCAATTATACATCTTGCAAGGTAGGATAGAATTTGTGAAGAAAAGTCAGCGCAGATTTAGTACCATGGTGGAGATTCAGTTTGATACTGTACATTTGGGATTTGGTTCAGGATCCATATTGAAGAATACTACTCAATTGAGTTTGAAGGATATGGGCAATTATGCTTTTCCACCATTACTTGGGGTTCCATCGTATTCAACCACTAAGAATAGACTTATTAGGGATAGGTACGTGGATGTTTATTCGGTTGTACATGCTTTTAGTGTTTTTGAAGGTGTTGAGATTAACCAAGGGTTTCTAGAGTTGATTCTGCTATAGAGTGTGCTTCGATATTGGTTGGTAATTTCTAATTCTTTTTGAATTTTGAGAAACTCGATGTTTGGGTTCATGTATAAGTGTTGGATACCATAGAAGAGGAGGAGTATTTTTGTGTGAGAGAAAGTTTGGTTCTTGTTGAAAAGTTCGAATTTTTTGTTGCAGTCGAATTTATTTTTTCAGGTGGAATGATTTTTGAGTTTCGTTCATTGCATCAGAATATATATCAAGGTGGAGATTGGGGTTTTTTTTTTTTACCCAAATTAGATTGGATTTTGGGGGGAAAAATATTTTTTTCTATATTACGCATACTTTTATTGAA